TCCTCCTCCTCCTCCTCTTTCCTCCTCCTCCTCCTCTTTCCTCTTCCTCCTCCTCTTTCCTCTCCCTCCTCCTCTTTCCTCTTCATATTCTTTCTCCCCATCCTCCTCCTCCTCCTCCTCTTCCTGGGAAGTCTTGCTTATAGTTCAGGTTAAATACCATAAGTGCAGAGAAAGTTTTATATAGACTTTTTTGAATGGGTGCTATACTTTTGAAAGTCATTTTTGAAAAATCTATGTAAAACTATCATGTTGCTGCAAATTTCAGCTAAGGAATGCAAGTCAGTTATTCAGAGGTACTTGAGACAGTGTACTTTGAGAACATTTAAAATACCCAGTCCCTAATATATGAGAAGGAAGCTGTTCTACCTCTTGTTTAAATGGGATTGGCAGTTATTTTCATGTCTCTTTACTATGGACTCTAACAACAGCTAGATTCACTCTCAAGTGGTCATAAGAAAGATACTTAAAATTCTTATAATGTGTATTTTTAAAGAGCAAATAAAATGTTACATTAAAACCAATAGAATGATTTTTTTCTCTTCAAATTTTCTTTGAATTAATGGTTTGTATTGCTTTTGACAGTTTGAAGGCTTGAAAAATATTTCTGACTCATTTGAAAAATCGCCTTCCCTGTGGAAGGTGGGGTTGTTCACCGTTGGCTGGTGGGTGTGCAGTGGACGGGGACTTGGGTTCCTGGGACTGTTAGGGAGCTGAGCAGTGACGTGCCGAAGACAACCCTGAGGAGTGTGGTCGCCTGCGCTGCACGTCAGTCACTCTTCCTGTGTCTGCTGCTTTTGACAGGTACAAGCCATTGGCGGATACACTCCTGCGTGAGAAGGAGGAGCAGCCCGCAGAGGAGAGGTGCCGGCTTCTTCTCCAGCAGTGTCAACTACATGGCTGGCAGGTTGGTGGCCAACAAGCTGGGGATCTCCAGGGTAGGACTTTAAGGACTGAGGGGGTCATTGCGGGGGGCGACGGGGTCTTTCTGTCGGAAACGAGCTCCCGGATGCGTGGATAAGAACAGCTCCCTATGATGCAGGGGTGTGGCATCTCGCCCAGCACATGAGGCCGTCCAGGAGACTTGGTCACAGCCACAGTGGGTGGCCCTCTGTTTGCCCAGATTCCACGTGGCCTTGGGGGCATGTACAACATCCGAACTGTAGCGGTAGGAACTTCAGAGAAGCCAGACACCGAGGCGCTGGGTCATCTGCTGGCTTAGACCTCACAAGCGTTCTCGAGGCCAGGGTTTGCAGGCCGGCTCAGGCCCTCCCCGTCTCCCTCTGCCTGGCCCTGCTGCTCACTGGCCATGGAGTGGAGCTGCCTACCTCGGTCTCGCTGGTAGCAGAGGGGTCACTATGAGGAGCATTTGTCTGTGGTCTGGGATCCCTGGGGAGCAGAGCCCAGGTCCAGCCACTAGGCCAGCAGAAGAAAAGTAACATGGGGCATGCCCACCTGAGGCAGGAGGGGACAGTTCCAGGTGTTGTGTGACCACTCAAAGAGCATCAGAATCTCACCCTGACTCCCTTTAGGAAGAGGGGGTTTGAGAGGAGAAGGTAAAGTCAGAGCAATCCTGGACATGACACCGGGGCCGTGGGGAAGTGTCTGGCCATGAAGTACCACTAGGTGCATAGGTGGCCAGCAGCATGGCTGGCAGCTGATAGCTTTTGTAGACATCAACTACTGGGAGACAGACGTAAGCCCCTTGGACCGTTGATAGGCCCAGCGACTCTAAGGAGAAGCCTATGGTTATTCAGGAGACCAAACCCAGGCCTTCGCTTCAGGGGTGCGAGCAGCTGGTCCTGGACTGCAGGCTCATGGACACAGGCAGGGACTACTGCAGGGTCACAGCAGACTCATCGGTCCCCAACGAGGACCAAGAGCCTGCTGTGGGGCGCTGCTGAGTCAGGACTCCGTTGTTCCCCCTGTCCCTTTCTTTGCTCTTCTTTTTTCTCACTGATAATGGAAGTTGAACTTTAAATAACAGTCTGAAGGAGGAAGCTTACTCACTCAGTGGTTGTCAGAGAGGCACACAGTGCCAACGTGGATAAAAAAGGAAGGAGGAGGGGGATTACTAACGGGCCTGATGTCAGTGAGCCACACTCGAGGCGGTGACATGGTGTGGGATGCACAGACCTGTGATTTCCAAGCCTGGAGGCAGCTGGAGTCACTTCAACTGATTCATCCCTGGAATCTTTTAATAAGTGATTGTGGAGGAATGGTTCCGGAATAACGTAACACCAAGGCTTTCTTATCGTACACTTTTCTTTTAAAGAATACACACAAATGAGGAGTGTGTCTGTGTATGTGTCTTCACATGTATGCGTGCATTTCCACACATACGGGGAGAGCAAGGGAATCCGGAGCAGATCTCCCATGAAGACCGTGGTGGGCACTGACCACAGCCCCTCAGCAGGGCTCCCTGCAGCTCACTGGAAAGAGGCTGTGGGAGCAGCCTGGGAGACACTGGCGCACACCGGCAGCCGTCGCTCCTTCTAGATCTGTGTCTGTGCTGGGACCCTTGAAATAGCAGCTGAGGATGGTATTCAGTTGGAACGCACACAAGAACTTCGAAAAAGAACATCAAGATTTTAAAAATGGGAAAGGGTTCCCATTTCATTGCACAAATCCATTTCCTCCTCGTTTTTAAATTCCACACAAAGAGGCTGAAAATACAAGATGAAAGAGGGAGAGAGTCCTGCGTTCACTCAGAGATCACGTTGCTCTCGTGCCCCGTGTCCTCCCATAGACTTTATGCCGTGAGAAAAGTAATGGACTTCGTGGAAATAAAGCTCATTCACATTTCACTTTTACATAGACAGCAAAGTAGTTTTTCTCAAAAAAAAAAAAAATCACTTATTCCTGACCCTGCATTCAGACTCCTCAGTTTCAGGAGCAGAGCCTGTGTTTGAGATGTGGGGATCGCTGCAAGGTGCTGCTGTGTCTCCATTCCGCCTTGTCCTGAGTACAGAGCTATCTGCCTGAGGCAGCAGCAGGTGGTGACGGACAGCTGCTGTACCTGTGGCATTGTTGCCAAATGGCCAAGGGGTCGCGCTGTTTTTTTTGTTTACTAGTCAGTGCTCAGGCCTTGTCCCTTTATGCTTAGCATAAGATTAATGGCTGTTCTTTCCTATATTTCTAAAAGCAATGCTAGAGGAGAGAAGAGATTGGAATCTTTTTTTATTTTTCTGTGTGAACCTGCCTATGGTCTTAGCTAGAGATTCAATTTTCTTAAATAAAAACATTATCCTTTTATTGCCATTATAATGAGTCTTGGAAATTTTGTCATCCTTCCCTAATTTAATAGACCCTGTTGAAGGACAGCCTGAAGTCTTCAGCTCCCCAGTGACACAGTCTGTACATTGTGACAAAAACAGACATCAGTGTCTCCTGTCCCAGGTGAGGGTAGACACGTCCTGTCCCCAGTTGGGTTCACACATGACCCACAGGGGCTACCCACTTTTTGCGCATGCGTGTGTTCCTGTGCATGCCACTCACTCTTCATGTGTTCATGAGTTTGGAGTCAGCTAGAGGAACTTCAGTACCACGTAAATCAGAATGCCTCTTGTCCCCACGGGTCTCACGACTAGCCAGAACTTTCCTAACTTTATTTAATGTGAGCCTAATAGCAATTCCACGCAGAAAGGAAAGCAGGCAGTTTATGTAGTTCTGACCCCAGTTCAGATACGAGGAAATTGAGCCTCCAAGGGCCCTCGTCCTGGGGACCAGCATACTGACCCAAGCAGTAAGTGCAGTTGAGATGCACCTTTGTGGGAAGGCCACTTTGTCAAGGCCAACATGTGACTCTTCCTATGCTGTGTTCTTTCCTCTGCATTTAACTCGATATGTAATACAAACAGCACAAGACCCTCACCAGAAGCCAATTCTGAAGTCATTCCATTCAAATTCCAGAACTCGAAAGGCCTGGGTCCATTGCAGTTCTGCTTTGATTGGAGCACCTGTGCATTGCCCGCTTACCTGGGTGGCCTGCCCCGTGGTCTGGTTTGTGCTTACTGTCCCAGGAGGGAAACCCACCGGGCTACTTCCCTGTGCAGGCTGACCCCATCAGGACCTCCCTAGCCCAGCTGCCAGCTTGGAGCACGGAGCATTTGTACACTTCTTCCCAGATGTATTTTGGAAAGGAGAGGAGGAGGAGAAGACAGACCAGGAGTGGGGGGAAGAGGAGAGGAAGACTGTAATCACGTGATGTTGGATATCAACTCTCGTTTAGAGCCAAGACCTACACACCACCCTGGCTGCCTAGAGCAAGCAAGTGGGGGAGGCGATCCACAGTGGAGATGCACTAGGTTAGGGCCGCGGTCCCTGCTGCGCAGAGGCAGTTGGAACCAGTCTCACTGCACTGTGTGGTTAGCTCTGTAGCTCCCAGCACCAGCGCTGCTCACTGCCAGTTCCCAGGACTCCCAGACGCCAGGTGGGGCTGTGCTCTCCTCCCTGCTCGCTCTCCCCGAAGCCCTGGGACCTTCCTTAGCCTCCTCCACATCTAGCCAAGGCCGGACTCCCCTCGCACCAGGGATTCTCCAGAAGGGACCTGTCTGTGGGGTTGCCGGCCATCTTTCTACCCACGGAGACGGAAGGACGCGGCACAGACTCTTGCCTATCTTTATGAATAGGAAGCTACCAACAATATTCCACCTTTTATATAGATACATAAGTATCTCAGAAATTATAAAATCTGGTATAATTCACAACAAAAACCTAACTGGTAATATCTAGAGACTTTTTTGGAGCTGAGAATCAGACATAAATTTTGTTTATAGCTACGTTTCTAATTGTATTAATGCATTACTTCCATGATTATAAACAATTTTAAAATGTATAATTGCTCCATAAATATACCTTAACTGTAGGTTATTGTATTCGACCAAATTAAACATTTTAAGCATTTTTGGAAAAGAAAACATAAATCACATTGTTTTGCTCCAAAGCACTTTGCCTTCCGACAGCTAATTTCCATTCCATCCTGCACGCATCCAGCCTTTACCTCTCCATGGCCCCTCAGGCCTCTTTCACGGGGTGGGAACGGGGAACCACGGGTCTTGACCAACTCCGGGAACCACTGTTCTTTTACCCAAAACTGTTGTTTCCACTGTATTTTTATTTTTTAAAAAAAGTAAAGAAAGTCAGAGGCCGTGGTGGCGAGGAGGGCATCCTGCTGTTTTCCTACCATGTGGGCACTGGAAAGGTGCGTTTCAGATCAGGTGGACCAGGAGGGCTGTGTCCTGATTGGCAAGATGGAACTTGGCTAGCTCGGGAGAAATGGAAGTTTCTTGAGATGATTTGAATAGAATCTACATGACTCACTTCTCGGGCTGTTTTCTGTTCCACCAGATATATTTTTCTTTATGAAACAGTCCATGAATCACTTCATTTGTGGAAAAATGATCCAAATACTTTGAATTAAGTCATAGTTTGGAAACAGTTAAGCCGCTATTTGTTAACATCTACTGTTTGTTTTATCATCGTCGTCATCAGATCTTATTTATCTACATAGACATATTTTTAATTCAGGGCTATTTCAAGTGGCTTTGAGAGTCTTCCCTCTGGATCCCTGGTCTTTAATCCAGGGCTTTCTGCTCCGCCTGCCCCAAGCAGCAGGAAGGTGCTCAGCAGGCTCCGGGTTGCATGTGGAGCATGCTTGTTGTGCACGTTATGTCATTTATGTAAAATGAAAACCTTTGAGACTCATTCTTAGTGGAAAAATAAGTGGTATAATCTGATTTTCACACATTTTCTGTGCATCGACTGGTTATAGGACGGTTTCTGCTGTGTGGTTATTTGAATGCTATATTCATTTTCCAGCCATCTGGAGGGATGACGGATAGAGAAACAAATCTGTCGGAGCGGGTTCCTGCGCTGCCAGGGGTGCCGCTCAGAACAAGGCTGTGA